ATTTTAATAATATTCTTGGAAAAATTCAATTATTTTCAGTACAATTTAAATAAAAGTCGTCGAAAAAATTCAATTATTTTCAAAAAATTTGATACAATTCTTTTTATAGAATTCAATTATTTTTAATACAATTTTAATTAAATTCCTTTAATGAATTTTAATTTTCTTCGAAACAATTAAATTATTTTCATAAACAATCAAATTCTTCGGAGGAATCCAATTATTTTCAATAAAATTTCAATTCTTTGATGGAATTCAATTATTTCTAGAAATGTTAATAAAATAAGTCGAAAGAATTCAATTATATTAAAAAATTTTATTATAATTCTTTAGAAGAATTCAATTATTTTCAATACAATTTGAATAAAATTTCTTAAAAAAGTATTTAATTATTTTTAAAATATTTTATTAACATTCAATTATCTTGAGAAATATTAAATTTCTTCCTTGAAATTTAATTATTTTCAGGAATTTTAAGAAAATATTTTGCAAAGTTTTGCAAAATAACAATATTCATCACAAGAATTCAATTATTTTCAAAAATAATAAAATTCTTCACAGGAATTGAAATTTTTTTAAAAATTCTTGTTAACTTTTTAATTATTTTGATAAATATTAAATTACTTCTCAGTAACCATATTTCATTACAAGAATTCAATTATTTTTGAAAGAAATAAAATTCTTCGCAGAAATTCAAAATTTTTTAAAACTCTTTAATTATTTTTAGGAATTTTTAATAAAATTGTTTGCAGAATTTAATTATTTTCATAAGTAACAATTACAATCTTTAAAAATAATTGAATCTTATCGAAAAATTTGATTAAAATTTTATTGAAAATAATTGAATTCCTGCGAAGAATTTTTAATATTTTTATTTAACAGTTTTGTTGAACTAATTTTTTGAAAAATTTTAATTCTAATTTTTATCGAAATTATTAAAATTTTTTAATAATATTTTTAGTTATTAATTATTTAATTATTAAAAATAATTGATTTAGAGAAGAATTTTAGTTAAATATTTATTTTAAATAAAACTATTGATGTTTTCGAATAATATTACAATTAAAGAAATTTGTAAATATATGTATTATAGAACATTTTTTTGAGTATCTAATCATTTTTAGAGTGAATCGCAGAATATTCTTTAGGGTCAGGAAAAAAGTCAAAATTTTGCCTAAAAATCAGGGAAAAACAAAATTTATTTTTTGTGGCAACCCAATTATATCTTTTGTTTCAAATATAGTAACCAAAAGTTAATATAGTATAAAGAATAAAAAAATGAGTATTGTAATTATAAACATTTTATTTTTGGAAATTTCGGTCAAAAAATTAGAGAAATATTTTTGATTCTTCAATTTTTGAATTTTTTGATCTTATTTGGAATTTCTTTTTACCCCAATCAATAATTTACCTGTAAAGTAAAAAATATAAATTAATATATAAAGAAAATGATGCGAAAATAAAGAAAAAAGAAAAAGAGAACTTTTTGTTCCTATATTACACCAGAAATGAATCTATATTTTGAACTATCCAAATTCCAAGCATCGTTTATCTCTCAGACTGAAGAGGAATCCGCACGTGTTCATTCAATGGTTTTTTATAAACTTTTAAAATGGACACTTTGAAATTTACGATTGAGCGTGTCGAGTAATGGGTTTCCCTGCAAGTGGAGTCAAAAGTCATCTGAAAAAAAGTAAGATAAGAGCGATGGAATAAAACAAGAAGAAAAAAAATTAAGAGAGAGAGAGAGAGAGATAGAGAGGAAAAGACGAAAGAATCGTGGAGTAACTTAGACTGGAACAGCTGTTTAAAGTGTGCCTATAGATTTCTTATAAATTCTTCGGGAAAAGTATATAGACCCGACAAGAGTTTGTCGGTTGAAAAAAAAAATAACACCAGGCCTCTAATACAAAAAATTAAATTTAGAAATTTAGTTCAAAAACAAAGAAGCTATTTTTTTCTCTATTCTCAATATTGTACAACATAAGAGAATCCTTGAAATTAATTTTCAAAAGGAGAATTTTTTTCTAAATATAATTTTAAAAATAATTTTTTTACTCAGCATTATAATTTTAATAATGTGATTTACCTGATTCGTAAATAATTTTATTTTCTTCTATACATTTTTAATCGATGGGATAAAATTCGTAAATAATTTTTCTTTCGTGCAATTTCACTCAATATTTTTCGAAATAAACTCGAAACAAATTTTCTTCTATATTAGTTTTATTATTTATAAAAATAATTTAATTCTTGCAAAGAATTTTACTATTTATAAAAATATTATTTTAATTGTTCCGAAAAATTTATTAAAATTTTAGAAAATAAATGAATTTTATGTAAATATTTAAAAATAATTGAATTCTTTTCAGAAATTCTATTAAAATTGTTTTGAAAAGAATTTATTAAAATTTTAGGAAAAATTGAAGTGTTTTGAAGAATTTTATAGAAATATTTGAAAATCATTAAATTCTTTCGAGAAATTCAATTAAAGTTGTTTCGAAAATAATTGTATTCATTAGAAGAATTTTATTATTTTTTTGAATATAATTAAATTTTTTGACGAATATATTTTAAAATTGCATTGAAAGTAACTTAATTTTTAAATAGAATTTTTGAAACTATTTTGAAAATACTAGAATTATTTTTAGAGAATTTCAAAATTCTTGTTGAAATTGAATTTTATGGAAAATTTTGAAAATAATTAAATTCTTTCGTGTAATTTTATTAAAATTTTAGAATATAATTGAATTCCTTCGTAAAATTTTATTAAAATTTTGTTGAAAATAATTGAATTTTTGCAAAAAGTTTTACTATTTATAAAAATATAATTGAATGCTTCCACAGAATGTTATTATTTATAGGGGAACATAGTCTAGGTCGGCCACCTTTTTGACTTTTGTTTATAACTTTTTTTAAAAAATGAATTTGGACAATTGAAGTATATGGTTGGAAAGTCCTGTTTAATAGGAACATTTTTTCTGTACAAAGTAAATTGACAGGTTTAAAAATGAAAAAGTTATAAAGATTTAAAAAAAAAAAAATTTGTAGTCCAGGTTGGACATTACAGTCAAGGTCGGCCATGTTTAAAATTCAAAGGGCATTAATCGTTAAAAAATAAAATAACATGTTTGGAGTTACGGAAAATTGATTCTTTATTGTTTACAGCTTGTAACTTAATGAAATAATAAAATAATAAAAATAAACAATATAAAAAAATAAATATAAATAAAAAAAAATTTTGCACTAAAATATTAATAAAATTAAATAAAAATATTAGTAAGATGATCAATTATATTATGAGTTATACAGAATTGCAGATTTTGCAAATGAAGTAGCTCGTCCTCATCTTTGCGCATTTTAAACACATAGTGGCCGACCTTGACAGTAAGTAACATTGCCGAATTGTTGTAACCATAAAAAAATACGTTTCGGGATTCGATTTTTTACTTTGTTTTCCTTTCAACCATGAGTCCCACAAATTTTCTGCATACTTGCCTTGACGATTCAATTTGTTTTTTATCTTTTATTAATGGTTTTTCACATTATGCACAAAACTTTTTTTGAGCTTTTTTTGTACCGACGTCACAGAAAACACAATTTTCGATTTTCCGAAAATGTAATTGAACAAAAAGTTAGGTTTCACTAAGACAAGCTTCGACAAAAATGCGCGTAGGTGGCGCTAGTGAACTTGACAAAAAAACGCGAGTGGCCTACCTAGACAGTAGACCAACCTTGACTACATTCCCCTATAAAAATAATTGAATTCTTGCGAAGAATTATATTAAAAATTTTTCTTTTTAAATATTTTCAATTTTAAAAATTAATGAATTGAAAATCATTGAATTCTTGCAAAGAATCTTATCTTATTTATTATAATAAATAATCAAAAAAATTTCAAGAGAATAATTGAATTCCTTCGAAGAATTTTTTTATTTATGAAAATAATTGAATTCTCGCGATGAATTTTATTAAAATTTTTAAAAATCATAATTAAATTCTTTTAAAGAATTTCTTTGAATTTTTTTAAAATAATGGAGTTTCTTTAATAATTTTAATTGAAGATTTTGAAAGCAATTGAATTTTATGAAGAAAAATTTTATTAAAATTGTATTGAAAATAATTGACTTCCTGAGAAGAATTGTATTATTTATAAAAATAGTTAAATTGTTTCGAAGAATTTATTAAAATTTTAGAAAATAATTGAATTTTATGGAAATATTTGAAAATATCTTAATTCTGTCGAGGTATTCAATTAAAATTGTTTTGAAAAGAATTGAATTCCCGCAAAGAATTTTACTATATTTATAAAAATAATTGAATTTTTTCGTGAAATTTTATTAAAATTTTACAAAGTAATTGAATTCTTTCGTGAAATTTTATTAAAATTTTAGAAAATAATTGAATTCTTTCTTGAAATTTTATTAAAGTTTTTAAAAGTAATTGAATTCTTTCGTAAAATTTTATTAAAATTTTGTTAAAAATAATTGAATTTTTGCAAAAAATTTTACTATTTATAAAAATAATTGAATTCTTCCAAAGAATGTTATTATTTATTAAAAAAATAATTGAATTCTTGCGACGAATTATATTAAAATTTTTGAAAATATAAACAATAATAATTAATTTTGTTCTTAATAAGTACAAAATAAATAATAATTTTAAAAATGTTGATAATGAAATTATTTTAAAATTTATATTTGAAAATAAAAAATTTTGTAATTTTAATAACAATAACAAAGCGAATAACATCTTCTGCGCGTATAATTTGCTAATTAAAAAATAAAACATAATATTAATTCTGGAATAAATTAATTAAAAAAAATAATTTCCAATATGGACTATATTTAATTGCAATTAAATTTGAATAAACGAAATTCAAAAAATCGAAATTTTTTTATACACAATTTTTAATTTCGCCGCAACAATGTTTAAAATAAAAATATAATATTAAAATACACAAAAATATTTAAAATATTGTTTTATTTTTTATTTTTCAGAAAAGATGCGTAGGCGAGACAAGAGTTTTAAACGTTTCGGTTTATATGTGGTCAAACGTGTCTTGAAAAATTAGCTTTTTATCAACGATTCAATCTCTCCTAATAACGGACACGCCGCAGTTCCACTTCTCTATACTCTCCATGTGCAAAAAAAAAAATCTAAGGTAAGATTTCATTAATTATATCAAGATTTATCCAGGTTTCATTTTACAGAAACTTTACAGGAATTTAGTTAATCGACAATATTTAACATAACTCTCAATAGGGAAAACTTTATATCGAAATAATTGTATAAATAATATTGATTTTTATTTTTTTTATTTTTTTTTTATTTTCAGAAAAGAGACAAAATAATAAAAATTAAATATAAAAGAATTTGAGAAAAATGAAAGAAATTGAAAATCAATTTTTTTTTTGAGTAAATATTTCAGAAGAAATAAATTAGATTCGAGAGAAATAAAAAAGGGAAATAAATTCGTCTCTTTTTTTTTAGGTTCAAACTTTAAAACTATTTTTTCTATTTTTTTCTGAAAAGTATAATTGAATTGAACGAAGTTTATTAAAAGTTTGGAAATAATACTTATTTCCAAACTTTCAATAAACTTCGTTCAATTCAATTATTTTTCAAAAAAATAATTTAATAAACAAAATTTATTAAAATTTTAAAAATAATTGAACCGAATGAAGTTTATCCAAAAATTAGAAAAAAAATTGAATTTAATGAATTTTATATAGAAAATAATAACAAAGAAGAATTTTATTATTTTGTGTTTTATTTATTTTTAAGAATATACATTTACGAAAGAAATTTCATATAGTATTATATATTTACATTGTTAATGAAAATTATTCTATTTTATATGATAATGGGAAAAAAAAATTCCAGACATTATCATTTTAGATGTTATAATTTCTTTTTTAGAACAAGAGAATGTTCAGGTAAAAATATATAGTCTATATAAAAACTTATTGCAAATCAATTAATACATTCTAAAATCGTCAGAATAGAAATTATTTAAATTACATATAATATTTCTATTCATGAAAATCATCACAAAATTCTATTCTCTTTGAGAGAATATGTCAATAAAATTACAGACTAACATATATAATATAGATTGTAAAATGGCAGAATAATCGACTGCCAAAATTACAAAAATATATTTTGTAGAAATAATTTCAAATTATTGATGTACATAAATTAAACATTATTAGATTCACTGAAAAAAAAAATTTTTTCTTTATTCAAATAATCGGTTAGTTGTGTATTATCAAACAAATTTTTATTTGAATCAAGTAATTTTTATTTGAATCGAGTAATTTTTATTTGAACCGAATAATTTTTATTTAAATCAAATAAATTGTATTCGAAACAAATAATTTCAGTATTTGAAGCAAAAAGCATTTAATTGACTCAAAAATGATTTGATAAAAATAAATTTTTATTTTAATCAAATAAAAATCAAATTAAAATTATTTAGTGCAAATAAATATTTTATTTCTGTCAAATTAAAATTATTTTATACAAATAAATATTTATTTCAATGAAATAAGAAATATTTCATGCAGATAAATATTTATTTGAACCAAATAAAAATTATTTCATTCAAATAAACATTTATTTCCATCAAAGAATTATTTCTTACACAAATAAATTTTTTTTTTTTGATAATAGACAAGTAATCGTTCTTCTGAATCAAATAATATTTTTTTTTTTCAGTGTAAAATGTGGTTATTGTTAAAAGTTTTTTACATTCCTTTTCGTCACTTTTAACAATATCAGAATAGTCTTATTTGTTTATAATATAAAAATATTTTAATCATTTTATTGACGGCTTGGTTGTTAATTACTAAACTAACTAATAAGTTAGTGTTTACTATCTCTACATTAGTCTCTCATTCGAAATTACAAAAGATTCAACGTTTTTTGGTAACTTTATTTTTTGAATATTGAAATTTGTTAATACTTAGGCTACTAGTAAAAAAAAATATTATTAATAAGTACAAATAATTGATTAAAGCTTGAAGAATAATATTTTTAGAAGAATTAAATTTTTAATAGTAATTTTTTTCTTTTTTTTTTCTTTTTTTTCTTTTTCACTTTAATTGTATTTTTAATTGAAACGAAAATTGAGAGTAAATCAATCGAAGAACTCGAGAATAATATTCCGAACGTTAAATCTTTTGAATCGTTGCTACCACAGATTTATATTTTCCTCTAAATTATTCTCTAACTTATAGATTCTAATTTACAAACTGATATTCTTTAAATATTTCTCGATTTTATTTAAAGAATTTCAATCTGATTTATTCACATGATCAATTTTCTGGATATTTTCAGACAATGAAAATTTAATTCTCTTTTTTATTTGAATTAATAATAATATTTATTAATTAATTCCGAAGCTATTATGTGAGTTCAATATTAAATTTTTTCTGTAAATATTAATTTTAAGTCACCGATTTAGTAAATCAGTCTATAATAACTTATCATTCAAGTTATTTCATTAGGTAAATTATTTTAAGTGTCGATTATCATTTTCGAAGAATAGGTTACTATTAACCTAAATAATATTAATATAATAATTAATTATTAATTAATTAATAATAATTAGATTTTAATTCAATTTAATGTTTTTCCAAAATTAAAATTTTTAATTTTAAATTTAAACATTAAAATTCAATTGATAATAATTAATATTAATTAACTAATAATTAAACAATGGAATATATTAATAATAATAATTAATTAATATTAACATAAATAATTTCAACATAAAGCCGATTCTAATTCTTACTTTTTCTCGCAAAAAAAATTCGAATTGAAATATTATCTAATTTGACAGTTAATATATTAAATTTCATTAATCGCGTATACATTTATACCTTATGTAAGAAAAAAAATAGAAAATAAATATTTTATTTAATATTTTATTTTAAATATGAAAATTTAATAACAACGAATAAAGAAAATCAGAGTTAAAGTAAAATTAAAGTGAAAATAAAATAAAAGTAAAAAATAACAATTGAAATAAAAAAAAAACCAAAAAGCTCTTTTTGCAGTGTTTCTTTTAATTGAAATTTAAAAGAAAAAATATCGAGAATAACTTTATTATAATAAATAATAATCCATATAATTAAATAAATTAATAAAGTTAAACAAATTACTTTTGCGCTTTAAACAAATCCCTCTTTACTTTTAACTGTTAATTATAAAACTAAATTTATCTCAAGGTACCGGCCCTGAGTTTGCTCGACTTGATTAAGTGAATAAATTAAATTAAATAATCTTGCAAGTTTAATTACTTCTATATAAATATAATGTTCAATTTAACTTAAATGAACAGAAAATTTAACTCAAATGAAAGAAAATTGCAAACAAATTGCAAAAAAAAGGCAAAAAAAAAAAATTGTAAACAAAAATTACAAAAAAAGTCAACAAGAATCGCAAAAAAGTTGCCAACGAAATTGAAAAAAAAAATTATAAACAAAAATTGAAAAAAATAATAATCAAAAATTCAAAAAAATAATAAACAAAAATTGCAAAAAAAAAATTGTAAATAAAAATTGTGGAGAATGAAAAAAAAAATTCTGTAAAAATAAATATAAAGAAAAAATATTCTTTTAATTTGAAAATAAATTTTTCAACATTTTGAAAACATTTTGCAAAACAAAATAACATTTCTATAAGGTTTTTTTTTTTTTGTTTTTTAATACTATAATCGGTTCCAAAATTCGAACTCACCACACTGAGAAATATTAGTCGACTAATTAAATGTTTTTACGCACTGGAAATGAAATCGCTTGTTACAGACTAGGCGCCTCTTTCAGTAAACGTACCAGGGAATTTAGTTTACCTTCCTCGGAGTTTCTGTACTCTTCAAGTAGCTGTGGAATGAAAATATTTCAAATAAGAAGCCAGATTTTCTTTTCGTGAAAATAAAAGATAAATAAATTATCCAACAAATGGAATGGGCTGATTAATATATAAAGGTATATAAAAAATATTGTTTAGTTAATAAAATAATTTAAATTTTCTACGATAATAAATAAATTAATTCAAATTTTCTACGGTAATAAATTAATTTAAATTTTCATCGGTAATAAATTAATTTGAATTTTCTACGATAATAAATTTAAAAAACAAATTTTCTACGACAATAAATTTAAAAATTAAATTTCATACAAGACAATAAATTTAAAAATCAAATTTTATACAATAATAAATTTTAAAATCAAATTTTACACAATAATCAATTTAAAAATCAAATTTCATTCAATATTAAATTTTAAAATCAAATTTTATACACTAATAAATTTTTTTATTTTTATTTATTTAAATTTGGAAGGATTTATTTATAATTTAATTTAATTTATTTATTTATTTAAACTTTGGACGGACAAAGAATGTGAAGAGAAGTAAAAAATGAATTTTTTTTCGAATATTTAATTCGTACCTGATACGAGAGCTCACAAGATAAAATTGACTTTGCTTCAGGGTTGCAGTGTGTGGCCGCTAAAAGTGTCGGAAGTGTCGACTGAGCGAGTCGTGGATCACCATAAAATGGAAACGGCAAAGTACATAATTGTTGGAGAACACTTGGACCAGCGCCAGCCGATTGTAAAATCAACTGAAACAAAAATATTTATCATTTTTTATTCACTTCCAAAAACAAGAATTATTTTTTCATTTCAAGAAAAAAGAAAAATCTTTCGAGAAAATAATATAATTTTACTCGATGAGAAAATTAAACGCACGGAAAAAACAATAATAAAGTAACAGTAAATTAATTAATAAAATAAAAAATCAAATCAAAAATGTAAAATCGAAAAAGTAAAATCAAGAAATAAAATCGAAAAAATAAAATCGAGAAAATAAAATTAAAAAATGTGATCAAAGAATAAAATTGAAAAAGCAAAATTAAAAAATATAATCAAAGATTAAATTAAAAAAAATAAAATCAAAAGAATAGTAAAGAATAGTAAAATATACGTTGAACGTAGCAAAATTTCTCCCCAAACAGAAAATTTTTTGACGTAAATTTGCAGAAATTTAGTTTTTATTAATTAACAGTTTACATTTTATGTTCTAAATAGATTTGCAAAAAAATGTTATGAAAGTTATTCACAAATAACTAATAAATAATAATATTTTTTTAAATAAATAATATTTTTTCCGTGAAGAAATAGTAAATAATTTAAATTTGCTACAATAATATTATATTTGTTAGATTTGAAAACAACTGTAATTATAATTAAAATTGTTATTTACTAGGAAGTGTTGGCGTGGACCGTGAGAACTACATATTAGGAAGGAAGGAATCTAATGTGAGCCGTTATGGATTTGAATGTGACAATACAGGTGAAACGGAAATAGCTTAAAGACAAGTGGAAGTTAGCGAACAAGTGGAAGAAAACTTTCGTCCACCTGCGTCAAAGTCAACAGCAAAACGAACAAGCAGGATGTACCCGTATGACAGGAAGCAAGTACCTGTTTCTGCAAGAAGTTCATTTGACATATTTAACTGTTGGGATTAACAATGTAATGAAACAAGCGAGTGCCTTAGGAAAAATTGAAGACACTGCGGAGAATAAACACCGTGAAAAGAAGAAATGGAGAAAAAATTCCACCAGGTAAAAAATTATTTCAATAGAGTGAAAAAAAAGTTGGGTATTTTTATTGATTTCAAAATATTTTTCGTAAGAAAAATATTTTGAATCAATAAATACCCAACTTTTTTTCTTACGAAAAATATTTTGAAATCAATAATTGATTGAATTTTGCTAATTATGAAAATTTTTGAAAATTAATTAAATTGTTCTGAAGGATTTTATTATTTTTGAAAATAATTGAATTCTGTCAAGACATTTTACTAAAATTGTATAGAAAATAATTTAATTCTTGGAACACAATTTACTAGTTATAAAAATAATAATATGAAAAATAATTTAAAAACAAATTTTTGAAAAATTCAAATTTAATTGTTTAGAAGAAAATTTGAATGATTTTGAAAAATTTAATTAAACTTGTATTAAAAATTATTGAATTCTTTTCAAGAATTTCATACAAAATATTGAAAAATTTGAATACTTTAAAGGAATTAAGTCAAAATTGTATTAAAAATAATTGAATTCTAATAGAGAATAGTATCACAATTTTTGAAAATAATTGAATTCTTTCGACGAATTTTATTAAAGTTTCTAAAAATAATTAAATATAATTAAGGAAATATAGGAAATAATTGAATTCCTCCGAAGAATTTTATTATTTATATGAATATAATTGAATTCCTCCGAGGATTTTTATTATTTAAGAAAATAATTGAATTCTTTAATTAAATTTTTCCATAAATATTATTAAAATTCTGTAAAAATAATTGAATTGTTTTGAAAAAAATTAAAATTCTATCGTGGAATTTAGTTAAATTGTATTGAAAATAATTCAATTCTAATATAGATTTGTATCGAAATTTTTTATAACAATTGAAATCTTTTAACGAATTTTATTGAAATTTTTAAAAATAGTAGAATATTCTTCCGAAAATATTATTAAAATTCTGTAAAAATAATTTAATTTTAATTTTAATTTTAATCCAAATAGAAAACATCTGGTATACCTTAAACGAACAAACCGGACACTTAGACTGTCAAGGCCGACCTTCAGGTGGAACTCAAGAAGAAATGTCAAAAAACTACTAGCTTCTGGAGTGTCAGTTTTCTTCTGGAATGTCCATGGATTGGGAAACCTAAGAAATGCAGAGGATGGTGGGCAGAAACTTTCTGATAGAAAATCAATCTTGGCGCTATCTGAAACATGGGCAGTTGCGGAGAATATCAAACCACCTACTGGCTGGACATCGAGTACCTGTATTGTGTCACCTGCTTTGAAGGAGCGCAACATGGGGCGAGCTTCAGGCGGTCTTGCGGTGATGTTTAACTCTAATTTTAAAACAAAAATTTTAAATAAAACTATTCATTGGCTTTTTATCGAAATAAAAGTAGAAAATTTTAATTTTATTTTAGGAACTTTATATTTTAAACAGTCTTTTGAAATTGAAGTCTTATTAGAAATGCTTCAACCAGTAATTGATGATATAAATTGTAACTATAAAGATTCACCAATATTAATAGGAGGTGATTTTAATGCAAGGATTGGAACACTTTCGGATTTTGATCAAATTGCGATTTTTAATTCGGGGTTGTTCAGTAAGAGACGTACCTGTGATATTTTTGTTAATAAAAGAGGCTTAGAATTGAATGATTTTATGAGTTTAAACGGATTTATAGTTTTGAATGGTCGCTCAAGGAGTGATGCTGAGGGTGTATATACGTTTGTCGGAGGAAATGGATCCAGCGTCATAGATCTTGCTTGGATTGATGTAGCTCATGCGGAAGTGGTTTATGACTTTATAGTACATTCATCAGTAATTGATTCAGACCATTTCCCTATTGAAGTTATTTTTAAACCTATAAATCAATTAAAGTCGCGAGATAGAAGTGCTGGGCCCATTCCTGAAGATAGATGTATTAATCGCTTATGTTGGGATTCAAATAAAATAAATGATTATGTTAATATTTTGAATGGTCCTGAATTTGCTCCCCCTGACTCTGATCTGTCTTCTGACGAGCAGAACCGGATTCTGATTGATAGCATCACGAAAGTGGCGAATCTTTCGGGTATGATAAAAAGAACTAATTTGAATTTTAAATCTAGATACAAGAAACCATGGTTCGACAAGCAATTAATTAAACTACAAAAAGAAACAAAACAAAAAGCTAAGGAATGGAAAAAATCAGGGTTTAGTGCTGATGGTAGGCTCTCTTTATGCGCATCGAAGGCAAAATATAAAAATTTGTTAACTAAAAAACGAGTAGGTTACGAGCAAAGTATTCAAGAAAGATTTGCAAGTGTAAGAGATGCAAGATCCTTCTGGTCTGCGGTAGAGATTTGTCGGAGAAAGGGGGGATTTGAATTTAGAGAGAATCCAATAACAATTGAAGAATGGGAGGGCTTCTATGCGTGTATATATCCAGAAAGAGTGAACACAGATGTGAGATATTTTAGTAAAACAGTCCCTGAGTTGGATGGAGAAATCTTGATACAGGAAGTAATAGCAGCGTTAAATAAAAGTAAACCAGGTAAATCCCCGGGTACGGATGGCATTAATGCTGAATTCTATAAGAATTTGCCATTATCTTGGATATTTTTTTTACATTCATTTTTTAACAAAATTTTGGATGAAGGGCGAGCTCCTGAGGCTTGGTCTCAATCGATTATTACTCTAATACATAAAAAAGGTTTAAGAAATGATCCTCTTAATTATAGAGGAATTGCATTGTGCAATTACATCTTAAAAATTTTTACTTTGATACTCGCTAAAAGACTTTCCGAATGGTCTGAAAAAAACTCGCTTCTCCCGGAAACACAAAATGGTTTTAGGTCTGGAAGAAGCTGTGTTGATAATGTTTTCACATTGCAGTCTGCCCTGCATCTTCGACTGAGAATGAGTAAGACGTCAGCGTATGCACTGTTCATTGATTTTCGTCGAGCTTTTGATTCGGTATCACATGCTTTATTATGGCAAAAGTTATACGACATGGGAGTAAGCGACAAAATAATTAAAATTATAAAATCTATTTATGATTATGCATCTTTTACCATTAGAATTGCTAATGAGTTTTCAAACCCAGTCGAGGTAACAGAAGGCGTATTGCAAGGTGAAACGCTTAGTCCCATTTTGTTTATATTATTTATCGCAGATTTTGAAAGAAAACTCAGGGACGCTGGAAATGAGGGTCTGAATATAAATGGTTGTGTGGACTTGCTTGTTTCACTTTTTGCTGATGATGCGGTTGTTTTGGCGAGTACCTCAGTGAGGATGTGTAAATTAATAAAAGATATAGAAAATTACTGCAATGTAAATGGTCTGAAAATCAATACCTCAAAAACGCAAATCGTTCACTTTAGAAGAGGGGGTAAACCATCATCGAAAAAATTTTTTATTAACGGTGATTCTCTTAAAATTGTAAATTCTTACAATTATTTGGGAGTTGAGTTTTCTAGCTCCGCATTGGGCAAAAAGGCAACTGAGTATGCAATCTCAAAATCTAACCAGGCTTTTGGGACGATAAGACAGATTATAAATAAGGGAAAAATAGATTGCTGGGAGGCTCAAAGTAAACTATACTATAGTATTGACTCGGCAACACTTTTGTATTGCGGGCACATATGGGGATTAAGGTACTTACAAAAAATTGAATCTGCACACACAACACACTTTAAACAATTATTATCCCTTCCAAAATGTACCTTCAATGCTGCCCTGCGTCTTGAGTTGGGTCTTATTAGTTTAGAAATAAAAGTTTTCAAGTCAGCTTATCTTTACATTGTGAAAGTTTTGTCAATGGACAATTCTCGTTTACCTAAAATATGCTTCGAAAGACAGGTGGAATTGATGCGATGCTCTGAGCCAACCTGTGAATATAACTGGGTGGCTCAAGTAAATGTTCTGTTGGAAAAAATTAACATGACGGAATTATGGTCAACCCTTTGCCCCCTCATTTGGTCTGAAAAATTAAGTTTAGCCTTGGGTCGTTATGAGAGGTATTTGAGGTTTTCGGACCTAATTAG